GCATTGCGGCAAGCGGCATGCCGTACGCATTAATATGCAGTGTATAGTCTTTTATGCAACAGTGTATGGAAATAAACGATCAAAATAGTATACTGTAGAGCTTGTGGCATAACAGCAGCAGCTCGAAATCATGGAATAACGTTTCATCGGTTAGTATTATCAACAATAATGAGATTTTTATTTTGGAGATTATAATCATATGTATAGTATTGTGAAATTGTAGATTCACAATAATTACTAAATAATTTTCACTCACAAACAGGTTTCCGAAAAATCCGGATTAAAGAAATGCATGGATAAATTTTTGTAAGGACGAAGGATTTAATATAAATTTAGATTTTAGATTTTAACATTGCTCTTATGGAAATACTGCACGAGTGCAATCCCAATGAAAAACGCCATTAAAATTTGGTATTATTGTTGCATATTATAGTTATTTTCTTTTAATTGTACATTATTTCCTAATTAAACATAACAAGTCATTCAATATTGGCGCCCTTGAGCGGCCATCTTGAGCGACCACTTTATATAGTCACTTCCGTCCGCACTTTTACGACCAAACGCTCCCTCCTGTTTCTTTTTACTCAATGGTTTACGGCGGGGGAGGGGGCCGCCATATTCGTTTAGTAATCACCACACATAGAACTCACTATTTGCGTATGTGTGAGAAATGAAAGTCAGATCCTGCGCACAATAAACAAAATAGGAAATAGAAATAGGAATAATTATTAAATATTAGAAATAAGAAATTGGAATTATTTATTTTAAAAATAAAAAGAATAGAAAAAATTAATGCATGAATTAAGAAATAAGAATTAAAACTAATTAATATATTTTATTCTCTTGTTAGATGTAAAATAATTTCTCTTTTTAATATTAAATGATTATTGCTATTTCTAATATTTTGTCTACTGTATGCAGAGCCTCAGAGTAATAAAAGTTAAAGTATTTTATAAAATTTATAGTACAACAATAATAAAACCGCCTAATTTCTTTACGCTTGTCACTCGTTATGTCTAGTGGCACCACACACGAGTGTAACCATGTCACAGACACAGAATCTCTGTGTGAGAATCGCTACATCAATATGGCGAGAAGCAGTCCCCCCCGCACGCTTGAATTACCATCCCCTCTCGCCTAAACTAGGACTTTAGGCCGGTATTCATAGTCCGTTTTTATATTCAAGATCGTCTTAAGCACGAACTTATATTCGCTCTCTTCGTCATACATAGATTGTGTCTGACGAAGAGAGCGAATATAAGTCCGTGCTTAAGACGATTTTGAATATAAGAACGGACTATGAATACTGCCCTTAGACTCGTCTTAAGATACTAATATGGCTTTTTGATTGGTTCATAGCATTTTAAGACAATATTTAAGACAATCTTAAATATAAGAACAAACTATAAATACCGGCCTAAATCTGCTTCTCCGATAGGTATAAATCGTTTAGTGTAAAATCTACACCAATCAAAGAAGCTGATTTAGTATTTGGTACGCGTACTAAACAATCGATGTAAACTAACCCATTGCCAAACTTTCCGCACTAGTGTACACTAGTGACATTAAAGCGTTCTTATACTGAATGGGCACTGAATCGCGAGCCGAGAGAGAACCACATGTCGTGTATTGCTGTCCTTCTACGTACAGTCAAGTTCGAAACTCTTGAAAATCCTTTTCGACGATACTTAGAAAAATTTTGTATAGTCAGCCTCCGAAGTTCAATATTTTATTAACTATTAATCGAATCTCTTTTTTCATTAGAATTATCTTTATATTTCTTAAAGTACTTTCTAGAATGCCAGTCAGAACCATCAAGACCTCTTAAAAATTTTTTTCGTCGAAAATTTCGTGTTATTGCACTTTTTTAAAGTTGTTTTTCAACTTTTCCTGGACAAATATTTTAAAAAATTATAGAGAACTCCTAAACATGCATAAATATATTGTAATTCATCATCAGAACTAATCGGTCTAAAAATTTTTTTTTGTTTTTTCTATTTTTTAATCCGATTTTAAAAATGTTTTTTACTTATGAGGAATTCTAGAGTGCTTCAAAAAGAAGCATATAAACTATTCGATTCATTCAGAACTATTCGATCTTGAAATCAGGTTTGAAGTTAGCATCCATTTTTCAACCCCAACTATGGGGGTATCGCTGGAGCTCTTTTTTAAAAATAAAAGGAAACGCTAGAACTTTTCAAAAAGAAGCTGGAACTCTAATCAAAACTATGAAATTTTAATGTCGGGGTGCTAACTTCACACACCCTAAAAGCTGCATCGCCCACAAAATAATACGCTATTTTATTGTACCAGAAAGAGGAGCATAACCTGATGATAATCATTTAGACTATCTCTTTATAAATTAATAGGACAAACCACCAACGTCTATTTCTCCAATGTTTATGTCTTCTTTTCTTCTTTAATATAAGTAAAATTCTCATTAACTGAAAAACTAAATATAATAATAAAAATGTTGCTCTGGGATTGGAGATTTCCTACAATTGTATTCGGTCAGCAATATTAAAATCCATACCGTTTATTTTTGGCTGTTATGGCTGTATGACATAAAATTTCTATCTTATATTCCTATCTTATAATTTATATCTTATATTTCATTATGTTATATTTTATTTCTATTCCTATAATTCTGATTTCTAATATTTAAAATGTATTCTTATTCTTAACATTTTCCTTATTGTGCATTAGAACCTTAGCTCTATGTGTTTACTAAAAACAGTTTCTTAATTTCAATATTAATCGTATTCATATAGACAGGACTGGGCAAAAAGTATTTGAAATACAAAATACTGTCAATCTTAATATTTTGATAGAAGACTTTTTACTTTCTATTTCAAATACTTAATTATGTATTTTGCCCAGCCCTGCATATAGACAAACAAATTTCTTTTATTTTGTAGTTTTTAAATCATATAAAAGAAAATCTTTTTCTTGGATCGGTATTTGAATTTGGAAGTGATCTAACAGCATTCAAAAGAGACTTCAGATTGGGATATTTACTATTATTAATAGAGTATTGATGTAAAATTTGTTTCCACATGTCATCAAAATTTAATTCTGAAAGGTTTTGTTTTTCTGCGGTTCTAAAATCTAGATATAAAGCACTCCATTCTTTCCTTAAACTATTTTGGTCGAAACCACCAAAGGTTTGAGCGATAAAAACAACATCATTGTAAGAAGTTCCTCTGTCAGGATCATTTAAAGCTGTCTCTGCTTCAAAAACTTTTAATTTAGATAAAAATTTGTCATTAATCGGTAATCTTTTACTCATTTCTTCGGCAGCAGTTATGTAAAATTTTAAACAATTCTCTCGAACATTTTCAACAAGGTTCACGTGTCCTTCCTTTATTAATTTTTCTAAATATTCTTCGCATTCTGATCCTAGATTAACTTTATCTAAAGCTTTTTGATTTTCTTTTTGAGAAAATTGATTATTACACAAATGTTGTGCAAAATTTTCTTTCAAAAAATATTTAGAAAATATAGTTAAAAACTCTACTGATTTTGATTGCAATAAATGAATTTTTGTCTCCAGAGTTTGAAAAAATACATTAAATGAATTGAAACAATTTAAAATATGTTTTAAAAAAAATAAATATGCTTTTATATCAAGACTTTCCATTAGAATTAATAAATCCAGCTGTTCAGACTCTGTATTTTCATTTCTAGCCATTTTAATAAAAAAAAACTTGATAATATCCCAAGACTCCAGAAGTTTTTTAACAAATGAATAGTGAGAAAGCCACCATGTACCAGACAAATTTTTGTAGTTTGTTTCCTGAAAACATTCATTAAATACTTTATAAATAATCGACTTTTTGGAACTATTGTTAATATAATTTGTGATCTCTTTTAAAAATTCTGTGCAATGCTTTGGTATGTTATTATATGCAGTTTCGACAGCTAATGCAGTGGAATGACATGGACATGAAAATGTTAACAAATTTTTACAAGTTTCTTTCAGCTTTCTTTTAAATAATAAATATTTGTCTGCTTTATCAGATGGATTACTGCATGATAAAGCAACAATATTTAAAAATGGAATATTAAGTTTCGACATTTCACATTGAAATGTATGAAACAATTTTTCCTCAGACTTATTTTTTTCATCAATATTAATGAATTTTACAAATTGTGAGCGAATATCTAATGTTTCAGGATCAACGTACCGAACAAAAAACGTTATGTATTTTTTATCAAAAAAATCAAATGTTTCATCAATAAAAATTGAAAATTTTGTCTTTTGAATGCTGTTGATCACACGGTTCATCTCTATTGGATATAACACATTCATAATTATGTTTTTACATTTTGTGCGATCCATATCCATACTTTTTAACGCATCATAATCGTCTCCTATTTGTTGGAAAAAGCTGAGAATATCTTCTGCAGTTTGATATGGAATATTTTTATCAGCAATCAATGCGGCAAATCGAATTTCTGCTGATTTCTTTCGCTCTTCAAATGTAACATGTGACGATTCATTCCTTAATTTGTTGTTACTTTGGTTTAGTTTGATTGTTTCATTTACTTCATTTGTTTCGTTTGTTTCTATATTATTCTGTTCAGACAATTTTATGTGTGCTTTGGATTTTGCATGACGAAAGATTTGCGATATACCACCTACAATACATTTATTACAGAACGAGCAAAGAGATAAATTTTCATTATGTGGAACGTCAGATAGCCATGGCTTAAATTGCTTAATATCTAACCATTTTTGTTGAAATTTGCTTCTTCTCGGCATTTTTTTAATAGAACTTACATTGTTACTATTTAATAATGATGTATTTTCTTTCATATTATTTTTATGACATGTAGAATTTGCATGTCTTAAAACGTGCGATAAGCTGCACGACATCTTTCTGTCGCATATGGTACAATAAAAAAGGTTATCATTAAACTCTACTTTACTTATCCAAGATTTAAATCTATCGTCTTTGAGCCAATTTGCTGAAAAGTTTCGTTTAGGTCTTTTTTTAAAATTATCACACATTTTTATGTAGAACAGAAAATATATAAAAATTTAAAATAACAAAGACTGATATACAGAAGATATCCTCACACAGGGTTTGAAGAAGGTTTTATCATGTATATGTACCTTCAGCTTAAAACAATTGAGAGCTTTTTGACAACAAATTCTGCTCCTTATCCTCTCCTCTTTTCACTATTATTGATGTCTTCATTCATCGAGTCACTCGATGTATTCCTTTTCATCAATTGATGCGTCAAAATTATTAGTCTTCTGTATAATTGATTAATACTCGATTCTTTTCTTTCCACATCGATACTTCTTTAAGGTGTACTTCCTGTTGAACTATCTTCTCCTTCTTCTCTCCTAGCTTTTCTAAATTAAGTGACCAATCTTCTTAAAAAACTTATACAAGGCTTCAAATGTTGCAAAGTTTTCCTCTATCAAAACGTTCTGTAAATTGTAGATATTTAACCTTAAATTTCTGGAATTTGTGTGTGTGTGATAAACCTTCCGCTCTTTCTGCATTATATTTTCTACATCTGAAGATTACATGGTTTGGTTGGTATCCTCTATACTATAAGCTTACCTCTCATTATTTATGTCCTTTTCTATATAATGATGTGTATAGTGATGTGCCCTAAGTCTATTAATCATGCACATAGTTTGTGTGCTATAGGAAAATTAAAAGCATCAAAGAAAAACTTATAATACAGATGTCTTCCTCGTTGATTTGAACATTTTCAGTCCAAAAGTTTAGAAAAAACTGTCAATTTTTGTTCATGCAGATGTCGAGAATTCCGTAAAATACCGAATGTGGAATTAGTACATAGAATGTTCACTATTTCTCTTAATTTATACTCAAAAAGTGAAACTGCAAAAAATTAAACTATTGTATTATATTAAAGATTATTTAAATTTGAAAAATACAAATATACATACCTGCAATTTTAAATCAGATATTATTTATCTATTTATACAGCTTATCGCCGTCTTTGATCCTCTTGCAGATGCTCAAAACCAAAGAGAACTAGTTAAGTGAAAATGATCTTAGAAGTGAACACGAGACTACATCACACACACAACCGAGAACTGCGTATTTATTTTAGCTGCGATTTTATTTTGTCGACAAATTATCGTAACACGTGTGACACTATTCACGATTGTCGTATGAAGTCGAATTTGTTATAAAACCTATATATGTGAAACACTTGCAGCTTTAATCGTAGTGCCAGATTTGAGACGAAAGCATCAACTGCTATAAGGCCATTACACGTAAAAAAGTTTAGTTACAGGTGTAATATGTAAGCAAATCGACGATAGAATGACTCGCTCACTGTGATTGGTCGATTTGCTTACGCTTTGTGGCCCCTACATACAGGAAACGCGTGCAAAGCAACACGGTAGCCAATCAACTGACAACTTTTCCATAAGAGTGAAAGATTGATTGGCTACCGTGTCGCTTCTTGTCGCGCGGCAAGCGTTACCTCGTCCTGTGTGCAAGAGGCCCGAAGCTTCAATTCTTGAATTCATGCGAAAAATTTTCGTATTTATGCAAAAATAATGCTGCGCAATCCCTGATTGGTGTATATTTTTAAATCTAAAAGTATATATTAATCAGTAATCGTGTAGTGTTATGGCCGGAGCACAGACTTTTGCATAAAGCATAACGCATAAGCATAAGGAAATTGATTGGTCCATTTCCTTAT